ACGAGGAAGTGGCTGGGTTGGTGGTTCCCTGTGTTTTGCTTGGATTAAATCAGTCTCAAACTCTTGCTACCTTCTGTAAATAACCTGCAGACATGGGCAGAGCTGGACTCTGGCTGCTTTGGGCAGCATAGTGTCAGCCTCTTCATGCTGGCCCCTGTATGTTCTCTCCTTGCAGTGTGATCCTGTGGCTGGGAGACCTCAATTACAGGATAGAAGAGCTGGACATGGAGAAGGTGAAGAAGTTTGTGGAAGAGAAGGCATTTCTAGCCCTTTATCAACACGACCAGGTACAGATGGGTCTCCCAGAGGGGCAGCTGAGCCCCTGCCTCTGTCTGCTGATTTCCCTGTAGCCCATGGCTGCATGGTTGGCCCTGGGTGTTTGTGAGCACAGCATATATACATGTATGGGAGGCTGCTTTTTGGTGTGATATCCATTCTGTGGACCAAGCTGGCTTGCACAGCATGGTTACAATGACAGAACAAGGAGCAATGGTCTCCAGTTGCAGCAAGGGAAGCTGAGGTTAGGTATTAGGAATAACTTTCTTACAAGGAGGGTAGTAAAACATTGGAACAGGCTCCCCAGAGAGGTGGTGGAGTCTCCATCCTTGGAGGTTTTGAAGACCCGGGTAGCCAGCCTTGACTGGGATGATGTAGTTGGGGCTGGTCCTGCTTTGAGTAATGGACTCAATGTGACCTCCTGAGGTCCCTTCCCACCCTCATTTTCTACGATTCTATGAATGGCCTCGGTGAGGTTGACCAGCACCTTTTAGATTAAGTGTGGTATGTGAGTGTGCACACTTCTCCACAAAGTTGTGCCTTTGCCCTTTTTATAGCTCCAGAAAGGCTTATGATTACATACGTTTACATTTCCCATCTCTCTTGGTTTTCCTTCTGTACTAGCTGAAGAGGCAGATGGATGAGAAAGCTGTCTTTGAAGGCTTCACAGAAGGAGAGATTTCCTTCCAGCCGACCTACAAATACGACACTGGCTGCGATGACTGGGACACTAGGTACGTGAGCTGTGTACAGGTGTCACCTCCTCTTTATTAGCTCGTGTCCATGTCTCCCTTGAGGCAGTGAAAACAAGCCAAAAGGGGCCTTAGACCCAACATACTGGAGGAAGGCAAAGAGTTTCTGATGCGAGTCTGCTTCCAAGATGAATGTCTCTGGTCTTACTTGTAAGCTGTTTGGATGAATGAGAATCCTGTCTCTAGGTTTGAGGGCACTTGTGCTGATCCCGTCTGGATTTCCCTAACTCTTGCCAGGAATAACGTTTTTTGAGATATTGGAAGAAGCTTCCTATATGAGGAGCTTGTTTTTGCCCTGTCCAGGCAGACTTTGGTGGGTTATTTTGGGGGCTGGCTGTAGAATCCCACCTGCCGTGGCCTTCGTTGGGTGTTCTTTGTTGTATTGGGGGTGGTTCTGGCTGGACCGTGGACACTGCCACAAGAGCCTGAATGATTAATTCTGTGCAGCAGTTAGAAATGTCAAGGGGAGAACTTGTAAGTTTAAAATTGGGATTTTAAACTTTTTGTAAAGTTCCTGTGATCAGCGTGGTTCCAAATGCTGGTTGTCAGGCAGTGTCTGAGGACAGGCAGCCCTGGGCCCTTGTGTGAACAAAGGGAATGGTGGGGCAGAGATGCCCAAAACTGATCCAATTTGCCCTCTGCAGCTTTGCACAAGGATGCTTTAAAAAAGGGATGTGCGTCCTGGGGAAGCCCAGCTCCATCTCTCCCACGGCAGCATCCCCACCCCACCCCCCCAGCCAGGCCACGCTCTGCCCTGCTGTCTAAACTGTGCTCTTTTTCCTGTGGTTTCAGTGAGAAGTGTCGTGCCCCAGCCTGGTGTGATCGGATCCTCTGGAAGGGGAAGAATATCACTCAGCTGAGCTATCGCAGCCACATGGCTTTGAAGATCAGTGACCATAAGCCAGTGAGCTCCATGTTTGAAATTGGGGTAGGTGCCTCTCGACTGCTAGCGATAGCTGGGCTAGATCTGTCCCTTCGGTGGGTGGAGTCGCTTCTGCTGCTTCCTCCTCTTCTGCACTCTTGCTTCCCAGAGCTCTGCCCCAATAACAGCACCATGCACGGGGGGCGTTGTTCTTAGCAGAGCGCCCGTTTGATAACAGCTGGTTGCTCTTGGTAACACGCAGATTAAATCAGCTGCAAATGTCAACCAGTGGCTTTTCATGAGCATTCCCTTACACTGCACATTTCCACTGTTGTGCCCGTTTACCGAGAGACTCGCAGCACAGGAATGTTTCGTTAGCCGACAGGAGAGTAACGGACTGAGGGGCCTTGGAGAGCTCATTCTGGGGCTGGCTGGCTGATTCATTTGCTCGCTAAGGCAGGCAGTGGGGCCCAGGAGGGGACAAATATTGGCTCATTAGTGCTAGCCCATCTCTTTCTCATCCTGCTGTGAACCTGCTCGTCACTGATCCGAACAAGTCTTTTGGTGAAGTCTGACTGTGGATTCAGTTCAACTTCCTTGCGGTAGCAGCTCTGCATCAGTGCCCTGCGTAGCTCTCCGCTCTCCATGCCAGCCCGCTGTGAAGTCAGGTTGCCCCATAGTCTGCAGGCTATCTCCTAACTCTCCAGCAGAGACTCAGCAGGTGCTCTTTGCTATGTGTGTGTCCCTTTCAGGTGAAGGTCGTGAACGAGGAACTCTACCGGAAAGCCTTTGAAGAAATAGTGCGCTCGTTGGACAAGATGGAGAACGCCAACATCCCATCAGTGACCCTGTCCCAGAGGGAGGTAGGACACATTCCTGGGCTTCCCGTCTCACTTCTTGAAGGAAAGCCTAGGTCCAAGAGGAAGTCTAACAATGAATTGTCAGGACAGGCAACAGGAAGCCAGGATTCCTCTTGTCTCTTTCCAGGCAGCTGCATAGCTCAGAGAACTGAGCAGAGGCTGGGTATCAGGGCTTTTTAGTTCTATTTCATAGATGTGTGGTGAGGCCTGAGGCCAATCGCTTTCCTTTTACCCCTATATTCCCTCGCAGCAAATGGCAGAGATCGTGCTGACCCATCTGGCAGACTGGCTCGGTGGTCCTGGACTAGTGCAGGCGACGCAGGATTCTGATTCTTGGGCCCTGGATAAAAGCAACCGTGCAGCACCCCGCTACTTCTGCAGGGTTCTGAGATGTGGACACTTCCCCAGCAAGGCCCCAGCAAAAATGCACAG